GCCACCCGCCCTCGCTGCCGGCGCCCCTTGCCCGGGCGACAGGCGCCTCCTGAGTGGCTGGGTAAGAGCGTGACCTTCCTAAAACTCTGTTCAGAGCTCTCTCAAGTCACCGGGAGTCCTTCCAGCAGCTCCCAGTGTACTTCGGATCCGGCCTGCAAGTGCTGCAGGCTTCGAAGAATTTAAGACTAGGTCTAAATCCAGAAACCTTGTTTTTCCCATGAATATTAAACTTTTTATCTGTAGTCGGTTGCCCTATATAGGCATAAAATGGTTTCAAGAAGCTAAAGGGTGTATAACAAAAATAGCCTTACTCTATATTATAAATACTAGATTGGCAAAATTTCAGTAAACTATTATTTTTCCGTTTGATCACATTTTATACAATTATGGGTAGTTCTAGTTTTTGGCCATTGAGACATATTATTCGTCCCCAAATACATCAATAAAAGCCACCCCTTTGGCTTTCATTTTTCTGTTCTTTCTGTGTAGTCATGTTCCAGTCACAGTTTTGGATCTGTAGAATTTCACCACTTAAATAGGTGCAGTAGTCCTCATTAATAACCAGCATTATTTATTTTTATGTATTTAAAATTGAGTATTATTTTAATTTTTTTTTCCTTTCTTTCAAAATTTAGGTGGAGAACAGACCAAAGTATTATGGAAGAGAGTAAGTATTTTCATCTTCTAAGTATCCGTTGCATGTATCCAAAAGCTGTTGTTCTAGAACTACCAAAAAAAAAAAAGACACAATGAAAGTCTAATAAAGTATTTTATTTTACCTTTCACTTCAGCTGTGAGCTAAATATATTGAAAGCCTAATAATTTAGCTATGTTACAGTCCAGTACTGCTGCTCACAATCCAGGGACTGTGCTCCTGTGTGAGCCTGCATGTTTATTTTGCTTTTCTTAGGACAGTTTGGGGAAAAAAAATATTGTCTGGAGTATTTCTTCTTTTATTTTGGTTGTCACTTAAATCTCCCAGTGGTCCTGCAATGCCCTGCAGAGGAGAGAAGCAGCTTGCCTCTCTCAGTGCCTTTCTGTGTATGTTCCTATACTTTCACCACCCTACATGGTTGTGGAAGTATGTATTTATACTACTGCATGTGTAAATGCTGTTCTCCCTGCTAAAGTCACAAAGTCCAAAATACTCACAGATGAGGTGTATTTTCGTTGTGAGGAAAACAGCAGACCACTAGAGTATAATTCCTTTGTGCTCAGCAGTCTCCTTGCCAATAAATAGCTTGAAAGGAGCTGGATCCTGCATTGGCATGGAGATTTGGGCAGGTGAAGCTGAAGGGCATAGCCACTGCAGCAACCACCCAGGTCTAGCATTTGCTGGCGTATCTGCTCAGGCCCTAGCCCTTATCGATAGCTAAATTACTTAGATCCCATGTTCTACTTTTTCTTCCTTCCCAGACACATCATCTGTGTTTAATGATCCTTTTATACCATCAAAAACCTCAAGAGCCAGTAAGTTTTCTCCTAGTTACTGAAGTTTCATTTTTTAGAGATTAGCTTTGACAACAGGGGATTCAGATCTAGCCACTAGAGTACAACAGAGCTGAAGACAGCACCTAGCTGAGTAACCCATCAAGCTTCCTTCAGCAAGACTTGTAAAATGATTACTGCCATCTCATATCCAGGAACCTGCCTGGCTGTTGACATATCCTGGGTCCGTGGAGCAGCAGCGTGGGCAGGAACTGTAAGAAGTCACCTTGGTGAACCTGCCCAGGCAATATCATGTTAGTTACTATCATTCAGAAAGATTCCAGAATCACTGGGACAATCCTATAAAAGCAATTGACTCAGTGCTCAGTAGGTGCTCGGAAAGAGAATCAAGAATTTCTAGGGAAAGAAACAGAAAAAAGTATAATTACATAAATCTGTGATGTGGCTGCATTTTAAATAGTACACCTGGTTCTGATCTCTCTCTACTCCTTCCTCCTCCCTCCTTTTTAGAAAGGTTATAGAAAAACTTAGAAAAATTACAGAAAAACCGAAAGGTACAGCAAAGTGCAACAGCAGTGGAGCAAGGGGATGCAGCTCCTACTATAGGAGGAAAATGAACAGGTCTTCCTCAATGGGTGTCCAAGAGAGGAACATGCACCATGTCCCTCTCAAGTTCATTGCCGTGGGGTGCTGCAGATGCCAAGAGCATAAAGATACTAAGGGGTTCATAAGTGAGATTCTCAGATTCATGAAGGGTGAGGTCACAGCTGATCGGACAAAACTTCTGACTCAACCAGTGATGGATGGACAGGGATGTGAAGTGAAAGAAATAATGTCATTGCTTCCTCTACTCTTTCCATAAGCATTTCTTGTTGACTGCTGTCAGAAGCAGGCATCTTGAGTTCATGGGATCTTGTACTATGTACAAGCTGGTTTTATGCCCTTATAAAAGTGTACCAAAAGTATCAATGAAAAATCTCGGATTACCTAGTATTTACCACCTATGGTTAAAGAAATTTCACAGGTGTTCCAGGTATCCTGTCCCAGTGATTTCTTAAATTGGTCACCAGAAGAGCTTTTTTCCTAATACCTAACCTAAAGCCTGACATATTTTATGATGAGCTTCTGGTGGTGAATAGCTTCTGCCCATTGTTTTTAACTAGAGTTATGAATTGCCATGCGTTTATTGGCAAAAACATGCTTAAATTATGTCATCTAGGGGTTGCTCATTTCAGTTTGGATGTGGCAGTAAATGAGTGTGTCCCTCACCAGTACAGACAGAAACTGTGAATCAGTTTACATCATTCTGAATAGAAAGTCACTCTGTAAAGATCACCTAAACCTAATATTTCCAATAAATATATTAGTTCTGAAAAAAACAACATAAAGAGAATGGAACAACAACTACATTTACATCCAGTGTGGTTTTCCTCTCTTTCACTACCGAGCCAGAGGCAGCATTAGAAATGTGCCACTTCATATGTATTGTCAGAAAAGAAAAAATGCCGAAAGCCAGTACATTTTACTGCCTTTTTTCAGACAACAGCAAAAATATAAATTTTCAAAACCTCCGAGGAGACCCTCAGAGACTTACCAGCTAGCAAAATGTCTGTAGGAGTTAAGATTCAAACTGCTGTAAAGGCTGCATTTGTACTTATGGAAAGATCTCCACTAAATATTGATTATTGTAAGGTTAATTGTGCACCCTGGATCTCTTTCTGTCTTAAAAGAGCAATGACGAAAAAATCAGAGAAGTATTGCTGTTTTCCAACACTGAATGAGGAACTGATTGAAATTAAGAAAACAGTGTTTTTCTCAAGGCTACTCTGTATCTTCTTCTGTTCTAATATATGCAGAATAGAATTTTGAATAATTGTTGCCATTTCTTATCTCAGTTTCCCTTAGAAAATTGAGGAAGCAATGTTAATATAAAAATAAAGTAAACTGATAACAAGAATGACCTCTCATTTTAATTTTAAGTCATCTCCATTAAAAAAAAAATAATACCTTTGTGCCTAGTTTTCAATTCCATTATAAGGCCTCTAGAAAGGAAACGAGGAAGAGGGGCATAAACTGGTAGAGAAGACTTGTGAAAAGATGAGGCTTTTACAGAAAATAATCTTTGGGTGCAGTTGAGTGTTAGCCTGACTGAAACTGCATATACAGTGTAGTTTTTGATTTGCCTCTATGCTGGACTTACCCAGGCTGCATGACTGTCCTACCACTTTTAGATGCTTGGACGCTGTCCTGATGGCTTAGACCACGATGCTCTGCAGTGTGGAAATTTTAAAATGGTTTCTGAGGTAGAGGAGAAGGTGTTTCTGGTCGGATTATTCTGTAATTCACTCAAGTGTCTTCCCTTAGGTTTCATGGGATCATTTCTCGGGAGCAAGCAGATGAAATACTTGCTGGCGTAGAAGGAGCATATATTCTTAGAGAAAGCCAGCGACAACCCGGCTGCTATACTCTTGCTCTCAGGTAAATGCTGTTTTAATAAATACTTGTAGTTCACATGTAAATGTGTTTAATGGAGGGGATTGTATCAGTCCCTTTTGAGTGAAGGCTCTGTCCACTGTTACTTAATACACATGGTGTCAGGGTGATTATACCTTCTTGTCAGCAGTTTGACCGTTGCAGTATGGCAGCAATTCATTCACTCCTTCAGCACTTGTCTGGGAAGTCCCTTTTCAGAAGCAGACTGCCCATTTTCAAAATTTTTGCTACCTGAATTTGAGTGTTGTAAAGATAGAGCTTCTCCTTGAAAACTGTAAGAGATGTGAGGGAGTACAGAACAGGAGAGTGTCCCAACAGAGGCAGGTTGTCCTCTGAGCTCAGTGGTGTGTGTGGTACACAAGTACCGGCAACCACTGGCAATAATAACCCTGGATAAACCTGGAATATCATGAAGTCCAGTGGCTGACCAGCTGTCAAAGGCAGTATACCGGACTTCAGTTTTCTTCCCTAACTGGAATTCAAGCTTGCTGTGGCATGAAGCATGGGATGCTGCTGCTCAAAGAAGTAAGAGTCTGCTATTCAACTGAATGAAAAATATAGCAGGAACCCAACCAACAACCTCACTGCCCCTTACAGGTGCCTTCCCTTGAAAATACACCACTCCTGGCTTAGCTGTGCCATTCAAAACCTGCCCACGTGACAGCCTGAAAGCTGCTATGGGTTAGTGGAAGACAACCAGATATTCTATTGGGTTTTGACAAAGCAAACTCCATGGCAATATTTTACAATCTTTATAGCATTACTACTTCTGTGGGATATCCACAGAATAAAATTCTGCATTTTTACCCTTCTGCTGGTAAGCTAGTAGGAAAAATCCTTTAAGGAGTTACCCCAAGTAACTGCGATACACTGCTGAAATCATCCTCAGAATTTGTATTGATGTGCAGATGGTAGAGCTGGAAAAGCTGGTGAGTCATGCCAAGTAAAAAGTGGTGTAAATTAAAAGCAACTTTTGTCAGCTGAAAAAGAGCAAATGTAATTTTTTTTAGGGCTTTGGAAAGAGATTTCAAAATAAAGAATAAAAAGAACTACCAAGGGATGGGGATTATGGCAAAATGCCTGTTGTTTTAACACAACAGCATGATTTCTAAATCCGTCTGAATAATTATTTGTAAAATCATAAACTGAATTCGATAGTAAATTGGGAATTTGTACAAAAATGTGGGAAAAAAAAAAAGAGGCTTAAACAGTTTAGTTTGAATGACCAATAAAGCATGCAGATTGCACATTTGATGCAATATAAGAACTGTTTAACCCAATGTCATATCCTTTAATCCTTTAATCAAGAATGGGATTTCAACATCGGTGTTATAAACTGAATGTGCTGCTACAGCACTTTGCATTTTAAAACTCTTTAAAAACCTCCATAGATTACACCTGCCATAAATAGCTGCATGGGGCTGGAGTTAGCCCACAGAACTTCGGATGTTTAATTGGGCCCCTGAATTAGGAGCTCAGTCTCCCTGGCTTCCTGCCAGAGAGTGATTGAGACCATTAGGATTTGAATTACTTTCTAGAGATGCCCTTGTCTCTTCACTGACTGTAAATATGCTCATGGTGATTATTAAGCAACCAGTTTTTGCACCTCGGACACATTTCAGGATGGAAAACCCCTTAACACAGTTATGCATCCCGGTATAAAATCTGGTCAATGCAAACATGCCTTTCAAATTTCTGCGGTAGTCCGTTTAGGATTTAGATTTAAACTACGTACGTTTGAATTGCGTGACTTATTATGAAGAATTGGCCTCAGTTCTGTAGCCCAGTTCATGTGATGCAGTCAGGTTTAGGTTTGAGCTTGAGTTGGTGTATCCACAGAGATCCAGCTGCACCATGTGCATACTTCATATGTAATGCAGATCTGCAGACTCTTCATCAAAACCTCCTGAGTGTTTTGTCAATATGAATTCTCTCTCTCACTCTTCCCTCTCTGTCTTTCTTCTCTCCCTACTTTTTTTCTGGTATTTGCAGATTTGGTAATCAGACCTTAAACTACAGGTTGTTCTATGATGGGAAGCACTTTGTTGGGGAGAAAAGATTTGAATCAATCCATGATCTAGTTACAGATGGCTTGATAACATTGTATATAGAAACAAAGGCTTCTGAGTATATTTCCAAAATGACAACAAACCCCATCTATGAACACATTGGATACGCCACTTTGCTTAGAGAAAAAGTGTCCCGGCGGCTGAGCAGAACTAAAAATGAGTCAAGAAAAGCAAGTGTAACAAGTGAAGAAAATACCCCGGTTGAAAAGGTAAGTATTCAGTTTAAAATTTTGGCAATTAATACCAGTCTTTTAGATCTGAGAAAAAAAAAAAAAGTGTTTTGTCTAAAGATCTGTTTCTATTTTTCTATACTTCATTAAGTATTACTATCCCACTGAAAAGTTTATATCCTGTTAATGTGATCTTGGCTCCAAACTGATATTTGACTGGAGCTTATGACAAAAGCTTTCTAATAAGTACCAAATGTAAATGTTTTTCCTGGTTAAATATATATATATAGATATATACTGACTAACTTAGGAGCTGTGTCTAATATTGTTCACAAGGTATGTCCATGTATACTGAAGCATATTACACAGCAAGATTATGAAACTGGTTCTCACTGATCCTTCACCACAGCTCAAGTTTGTTATCTTTCCATTCACAGTGCAAAGCTCCTCTTTTCTGCCAAGTCTTTGGTGGATGGGTCTCAAACTGAGATATTGTGTGTTTTCTTCCCTTTCTTCCCATGGATCTGAAGTTGGGATACTGTGTGTTTGCTTCCCTTTCTTCTTGCTCTTCTCATTTGAAGTGGGCTTTCCTTATCTCCTTCTCACATGCACCCATACCCATAGCATTGTATGGACAAGGACTTACTTACATGATGATAGTTTGAGAATTTTGTCCAGTTAGCGGCCATCTGAAGACGTAAAACTAGAAATTCTTTTACACAGGAGAAACAGTGTTGTAAGCAGTGACACGTGGATATTTTAATTTCCCAGGTGGTAAGGCAATAAGAACTGTCAAACAAAACTTTTTTTTGAGTCCGGTGTTTGTGCTGAATTGACTTACTGACATTTGTAAGCGTACTTCTGCAGTGTGACTGATGATTTTAGTGCTTGTGTGGTGGTAGCTAGTTGGGAACTGGAGACAGTTTGTATTTGAGAAGCAGAGAGTGAATTCGCTGTCATATAGTAATACTGAACATGAAAAGCTATCAGCTTTTTTGTGTGTATCCTCATCACTCTAGGACATTTCTAACATAGTTATTGTCTGTTGGGTTCACATATCTGCATCGGATGATGATACACTGTTATGGATTTCACAGTAGTAATAACTGCTCAAGTAACTGACCTGTCATGTAAACCTAATCATCCTCTATAACAACTTAATTCCGTTTATAATGACATTTTTTAGGGAAGTCATACTGCTGCAGGGAAGCCCTTTGGAGAATCGCACAGCAACAAGTCCTCCATTCAAGTTTTATTTCAAAATTAATCCACTGATAACAATAGGATTTGGTTCAATTGGATGATATTGTAATATGCGCGAGGAGCGGATGCCATAGAGGAGGGCTTTGTTCTTGTTCAGTTGATTCCTGTGATTGGACACTGGTTGGTTTTGAGTGCTGTAACAGGCACGAGAAAGTGAATGTTGACTTTATCTGAGGCACACTAAGAAATTGTAAACATAGTGCAGGGTGACAAACGTTTTTTTTGTAGGTGTTTTCGTGTCAGTAGGAAAGCAGTCCGGAGGATGTTCTGGAAAAGTTTCTTTTATATCGAGAAAGTACTGGACCATCACTAGGATGACTGTAAATATTCCATGACTGTAGCAATCATAAAAGTTGAAAATCATGATACATTCTCTAGGAAATCAGGAGAATATTTTTTGTAGAAGGAGAAACACAATTTCAAAATTGTCTTCAGTTTTGCTTACAGTTCTTCCAGTTGAGGAGCAGTGGTCTTTTGTATCTCTCAAAGCGCTCTCAAAGACTTCAGAGGCGTTTGTTCTAGTACCATATATTTCCAAACAGATTGTATTTTCTGTTATGCTTGGGGTTAGATGTCATTTTTTCAGGCTGGGCAGTTTTGAGAGACTACTGTAAAAACTTTTAAACCAACAGAAGGCAAACTGTTGCTGAAGGAACCCCTGCCCTCTCTCCTTCACTGCTGCGTTTTTGCTGACATACAGCTTTATGCAGCTACACAGTAGATGACACTAAAAAAGGGCTCCAGGGTAAAATTAACTCGGAAGAAAAAACACGTGAATTTTCAGCCAGATCTGCTACCTGATCCACCTCATATGAGTGGAAATGCAGCACAAAGGGGATGCCAACACTTTTTTTCTGATGACAGCTCAAAAATATATGTTATTGGCTTAAATTGAGTGGAAAGCTGCAACCCTAGTTCCAGATACCTGTGACTGAAAATGTTTGGACTTGATGTAACTTGCTGTCGATAGTGAAAATGCACCTCTGGATCTTGTTAGTGATAGGATTTGGTCTTCTTTTGTGTTTCAGCTGAATGAAATTAAAGTGTTTAGAGTATTATTTACGTCTGAGGTGGTTCATGATGTGAAAGGCAGTACCATGGGTCCTTACCCTACAAGGACTGGTGCTCATCTAGATTTCCAAACATGCAGGCAGTAGCAGCCTGCAAGACTGGGCTGTGTGGCTGCGCTGTTGTGTAAAAATAGCTGGCTTCAGCTAAGCCATTACATTGTTGGCAACCCTCTCTGCCTTCCTCCCACTGAGGTGAAGCAACAGAAGGAGGAATAGCAGCTGTTTCAAACATACTTTTCTTGCCAGGAGGAGTAGAAGCAGTCACAACTACAAGAGTAGTGGTACTAAATAGGCAAGGTGGTCTGCTCATAGGCTGAAGACCTGCCGTAGCAGCTGAAGCCTCACTATTGATAATTAGGACTCCCAGTGGGCTTCAACTCCCAGCGGGCTTCTCTACAGGCACCGGTAGTTTTCCATCATCTCATGCGAATCTGTGTGAAAGAAGATTATGTCAACTAAATTATTAGCAACTGACAGAAATTCACAGAAGTCTATATGGTGAAGCCTACTATGGTTGCTTTTGATTCATATGTTCCTAGGGAAAGCTCATGAGAGGTTTGGATAGCAGACAAAGACTCAGGGGTTGTCATTCCCATCTGTTGCTCACAGTAATGTCAGATAAAGTATGGACTGGGCTTTGGAATAAACGAGTCAAATATCAAGCATTTGTCAGTAATAGCATGTAGGGACAAAGGTAAGAATAAAGGTAATTTAATGTTTGTTTCTATATAAACTTCAGAAGTCCTCTAAAATATAAAAATAATATGGGAAAGTGGTAGTTCAGTGAGAGTTGTATCAGATGTTTTGCTTGAGGCTGTCATGTGTTGTACAGTATTTTAGACAAACGCCATGGTTTGCCCACAAATCAAAACCTTCACCCACTTCAATTACTCCAATAAATTTTAGACATATAGAAATAAGTGAATGAATATTCAGTATAATGTTTTTCTACAAAGTATATTATTTTCTGCATGTATGAAAAATCATTGGTTTTTATAAAGTGTGTTTTCTCTGGCCAGTTGAAGAGGTAAAATGTAATTTTTTGATAACTGAGCTGGTTTATTTGAAAGTGCTGCCTGGAGTATTTTGAATGTTTCAGAAATGATGGGGAGAAACCATACATGCAGGAGAGAAACTTCCATTATTTCTTAAGAGGAGGGTGAGAATTTAGCACTCTAAGGTTAAGCATCAGTGCTCATTTTACAGATTAGGTTTTTTACAAGTGAGATTTTGTTTTATACTGAAACCAATTCCAGAGTGTGAAAATGCATCTGAAGGCATTTGTCTCCTTAGCGAGTTTGTTAACACCATCCAAGGAGTCTTCTCATTCTGTCGCCTCCAATGTTGACAGAGGAGATTATTCAACGTCTCAGTCATTCCAGCACCGCCACTCCCCATGGGGTAGGTCGATGGAAAGGGGCCACCAAGGCACGGGCTGGCGGGAAGAGCACACATTCAGATGAAAAGTCTTGGTACTGCCTGGGGTACCTGTCTTTTCCCATAATGATAATTTCTTTGAGGTTGTAATTAGTGGAGTCATGCCCATTCCAGAAGGGGCTTGTGATTCATGGGCTGGATTAAACTGTTGTTGTTCATGCCTTTTTATCCAACATTTTTTGTAACAAGCCTAAGAAAACATTTATGCTTTAAGATACTTTATGCCAACATTCCGTCTGAACGTTGTTTCTGTTTGGCTTTAAAGAGGTGCTAGATTTGTAGACACAGATTCCAAATTTTAGTCCAAATAGTTTAACGAATCTTTAATCTGAAAGGAGCCGCAGTCATTTTTAGAAATGAAGTCTTGTGGGAGAACAGCGTGCTGCAAATACTTTTTTAGCAGTGTAGGCAATTGTCATTTTAACAGAATCCATCTTCAGAAGGGATTTTGGGTAGAGAAATTTTTTTTGTGCAAAGAACATTTGAAGATTGTATGTTGTCTGTTTAAGGTTGTAATTTAAGTTTGAGCAGATTGTGATTGCCTGCTTTGTGTTTGCTCTGCTTATGGAATGCTGTACTTGGGGCAAATGAATGTATACTGGAAGATGTAGAGCAGATAAGTACCCAGTACTGGTATGTACTGTAATTAATTACCAGTAATTCACGTTAGTGGTGAATGTAGAAGTGTAACTTGTTGTAAACAATTAATCTTCATGTGTAGGAGTGAAAACTTTGCAGTAGTCTGTCAGTAAAATATGTAGTTCTGACACATTTACTGCTATCACATACCATGTTATCCTACAACTGCTGCCTTGCTGCGTCAGTGGTCCTTGTGTCCCAGGCAAGGAGAAAAAAATTCTCATTGTCTAATCCTACATCAGCAAAGTGTAATTTGGGAAAATATATTCAATGAATTGAAATGTTGGAAGTAAATGCAAACTGGAGTTTCATGACCGCTTTGTTCAGGTAAAATCTGGCACGGTTGCTGATGAGAAACCGTCCTGGTTCCCTGCTCTTGCACTTCCATTCCCACTCTTGTGATCTGCGCTGTGCACTGCCGCAGCCACCCCATGCTTCAGGTGGGACCTGGACACTGTGACACAGTGCCCTGTGTCAGGCAAAGGTTGTGCGCTGCACCTTGTTTCTTTGCTATGCTGGTCTTATGCAGGAGCAGTTCCTCAGTTTGGGTTGCCTTATAGCTTTTCAAGTATTCGTGTTAGCCTGAGGGACACGATGAGAACAGCAGTCTGGAGTTAAAGAAAACTTTTG